TCTTAGCAATTTTTTTGCCTTTCAATGAGGTTAAAGTTGTATTTTTTAAAAAAAAAATAGAAGGATTATCTCACTTAACCCTTCTTTATTTGCCAAACCCAAAAAAACCATTAATGTTAATTATCATTAATCTAAACGAAATTAGATTATATTTAATCCATCGAGATAGGTTAACTAAGTTCATCATTCTCCTTAATCCTCCTCTCCTAAGTCCTTGCCAAACTATACCTAAAAGTTCATAATGATATTTTTGAAATTTGTTATTTTTAAATGTATAAGTGAATAATTCCATAAAATTCAATCACCCCAGTTTTTATCATTCATGGAAATTAAGATGCACATGTGTGCGACCATTATTTAAAACTCCATAAATATGTATATTTCACAATTTATGTTATGTAGGAATATTATAGCTCTATGAGGGGCACTACAAGCACACAATCAACCACACCATCAACCACACCTCCTCTCCTGCTACAGTGCAGCGGGCCTCATATGAATTTTTTTTTAAAATTTCATATGGGGCCCGCAGGCCCGGCCCAAGAGGGGGGTAGGGGGGGTGACCGCACAGGGCCCCATTTCAAAGGGGGCCCCAAAATTTTAAAAATGTCCATAGTATATTTTTTAATTCTTTCCAATAAGTCTTTTGTTTGTTTAAAAAAAGGCCTAATAATCTAATACTAGCCCACTAAATTAAATAATAATTTATGTCCATTGCCTAAGCCTAACTGCCTAACACCCATGACCCATCTGATTTACATTTTATCGGAAATATACACCAATTAGTACTATAATTATGATTAGTTGCTCATTTGTCTCCTAAAGTTTAGGAAATTCAATTTGAACTCATTAATTCACAATTAACTATTCCCTATTAACTAGGAAACACACCAATAAATATAATTCAATAAATTTATAGTTCAACATTTATATAGAAGAGGGCCTCATTTTATCATTTCGCACAGGGCCTCAAAAAAGCTTGGGCCGGTCCTGGGGGCCCGCTGCACTGTAGCAGAAGAGAAGGTGTGGTTGATAGTGTGACTGATGATGTGCCTGTATCATTTTCCTAGTTCTATTTATTAATGTAATAGAGCACTGAAGCTACAAAACTATTCCAAGAATAATCTTGCTTTTGAAATTGCAATGCCTGTCAAATCATGACGTGGATGTGTCGTGTTTTTTGCTGAAGCTGCAAAGAACAGTTGACTATTGGCTTTGAATCATATCACAATCATTGAATCAGCCATCAGGGTGGTTCATATACCAAACAGTGGAGTCCTTGCTTTTGGCCTCTCACTCTGATAAATTCAAGATTATTCTGGCTTTGATAGATTTTATTGACTTCACATGGGTCTTTGATCATGACTTGCTTCCTTTTAAACCCTCAATTTAGCCTTTTTCTATGAATAGGAAAAATCAACTGTACAAACAATCTCAGATGCCGAGTGCTGGAATAGTAATAATATGGCATTGAACATTCAATATATTTTATGTAATATTTTTGAATATCATTAAAGGTTTTATTGTTGTACATATAATTTGGGTATCATTCCTATAGTTGTTATAAAATCTTTAGAAATTGTTTCGTTAGATTATGTATTGTGATGTGTCATTTACTTGGAAATATGATCTGACTTAGGGGGGTTTAGTCATCTAGAACTTAAAACTGGAACTGAGATAATTTATGGGATAAATTTTTAAGGTGTTAGTCACATAGAACTAGGAAATAGGATATTTTTTTTATAGTGTTAGTCAAGTAGAACTTTTGTAGAACTAGAACTGTATTATTTTTTTTTTTGTGCGTTAGTCAAGTAGAATTCTACTAGAATTAGAATTGGGATAATTGGTCATAATTATCCCACAAATTATACTACCTATATATATAACCATAAGTTCTCCTCTCTCAAATTATCTCACACATTGGAAAGAATACAATTGGGAAAAAAAAGTAAAACGCCGCTTCTCTCCCTCTTGATTAGTTTCTCCGCCTAGAAAATTTCTCTGCCATGAAGTCAATCATCCGTTCGTTTTTCTGTCTTTACTTTGCTTTTGTGATGATTAGATCTTTTATTATTATCTTCAAGATGTATTACTTTATTGATAGTTTTTTGACGTTAAATTACTTTATTATTATTTGTTTGATCTAAGTTTTCTCTCCACAACAGTGGTTTAGGTTAAGAATATAGTGTTGGTGGGTTAGTGCTAAAGATATGCGGGCTATTTATGTTTTTTTTATAAGTTAGAAAGCAACTTTGCGATCACATTGACGATTAGATGTTGAATGGTTAATGGTGATATCTATTATTATTAAATCGGCTCAGTAAATTGATTGGGATATTTATAGTTCATCTGTCGATCATCTGTTTAGCGGCCATGGATGATTCCTGTGTACATTTCATTTATTTGCTGATTTGGTTTCAGCGGTCATGATGAGATTGGTCCAAAGGGTTAATGGCTGAAAAATGCTTATTTTTCTTTTTTTATGATGTTATGAGATTTGAACTTCGACATTTATGATCCTCCACTAGAAGCTTCACGAAATGTTGTTGATGCAGACGATGACTTTGATAAAGAAGACGAGTTACAAACTCAACGAGCAGCTGTAGAAGCTTGGAGAAATTCTATGGCAGATGTCATGTGGGATGATAGAAGCCATGTGGGATGATGGAAGTCGAGTCACTCTAGGAATTTAGATTTTTATTTATTTGTAAATTATTTTATTATTTGAGATGAGTAGTGATGCTTTATTGCATTATATTTTATAGTTATTACTAGAATTTATTTATCAATATTATATTATTTTTAATATATAATTATTAACAATAGTAATTTTTACCCACCATTACCCCCACCAAATTATCCTACCAAATTATGTAACTTCATAATATTATCCATCATTGTTCCACTAAATTATTCTAGTGTCAAAATATTATCCCACTTTACCAATTATCTCAGTTCTACTTAAAAAGTTCTAGGTGACTAACCCCCCCTTAGAGATTTCTTAAACTTGTACTTAACCTATAACTAATAAAGAATAACTTAGTTATAACGGGTTATTATACATGACACCGACATGTGAGATGTGTTGGTGGGTCTTAACCACTGGGAATGGGGACTCCTCGGGTATATGTCATAATCACGTATTATGATATGTGTAGCACTAGACCATATTTAAATTCTCTAAGACAAGTCACCTAGGAGATGGTGAATTCAAATTGTTATATGATCCATTTGACTTGATGATATTGTCATTCCCGATTTGATAATTTAGTATACTTTGATGTGATGATTAAGCTTGTTTAGCAAGCGCTACATAACCTAAAATGTTGGGTTATTAGATTTTATTTAGGAAAATTATGGATATCTAAATAGAATCAAATATCATCATTATGATGAGTTAATTTATTATGCATTCCCATAAAGTTACAAATTTTTTGTCTGCGGGTGGTTTTGAAAAATATTTTTAAAATTTTATTTTCTTATAAAAATAAAATATTTTGATGTTTCAAAATAATTTTTATTTATTTTCATGAGAATTGCAACTTAGGCATGATCAAATAGGTGAATTGTCCTACTCAAAAGAGTTGCCTAAAATAAATGATACTGGAGTGGACTGAATATAAAATATTATTTATAAATAATTAATCATATATTATGGAAGAGTTTTTATGAGCAGTTGGTCGGATATGGATTTAATTGTTAAATTAAAATTATTAATTTGATTAATAATTGTTTTTTGATATGTGACCTAAGTAGTCGCACTAATGTCATTAGAAGAGGTATATATATGTAATACAATTCTATTGTTGTCCTTAATTGTTATGGAAAGAATATTTTATCTGTAATTGTTATGGAAAGAGTTTTGAACGATTAAGAATTATTTGAAATCAAAATCTACAAGGTAAGTCTAATCCTATATATATAGTTCATATGTAGTCTTATGAAGATAAGATAATAACGGAAGAGAAATAGAAAATTGAGAACTTATCTCTCAGTATTGTTCCTCTTCGGTGACTGGTGAATTTTAATTGAAGGTTTTTTCTCTTGAGAGAACTATTTCAGATTTGATCTTGGAACAAATTATTGAAAAAATTCAGAAAGTGTTTCAGATATTCTTCTAATTTAATTAATTTCGATTAATTATCACGACATATATATTCTACCTTATTGCATATCGTTTTTCCAACACCAAGTGCTGGTATATCCTCATTTATAGGAGTCCAAAAATTGTGCTCTATGCTTCTTTCCAGTGCAATCAGGACGATGTTAAAAAATAAAAGGTGTTTTTACTTTTCTAATTCTCGTGTTTGTTTTGCCCTTAAAATTTAAAATAAAAAATATTCTCTTAAAACTCAAGAATGATCACTTTTCAGCTGTGAACCAATTCCGCTCAAATTGGAGGTATTGGAACGAAAAATGATGAAAAGCTAAATTTTAATGATTAAATAAAGGGAAGTAGCGGAGAATGTATTAGAAACCTCATTTGCTTTATCGTTTTCTACTTTAGATACAAATGAAGAATGTGTTGGAAAGCTTTTCCATCTAATTTCATGCTGAAAGAACTTATAAAACCCTTTTCCTAGAAGCTCACGGAAAAGTATGGAAACATGTTTTTATTACCATGAATGGTTTCCTATATAGCTTTGGGAAATGAAATGAAACAAACACGGCCGTCAACCTCAAATCAATTAAAACCGTGTTATGTTATATTTGAGAGTTTACCAAGGAAAGTGAAGGAAAGAAATGATAAGAAAAGGAAAGGTAGAGAAGCAGAAGAAAAATATAGCACATTGTTTAGGAGTATTATAAGGGGAGTAGAGGTGACCTTAAATTATATTTTTTTTGGATATTTTCATAAAAGGAAAATAAAGTAAATAAAAATTTGGCCATTGATTTATCGTGATAGGGGGTGAAAATGTTTTTTATATTAGTAACTTTTACTTTCATTCCCTTGCCCTTCATTACCCCCAGTTTGAGGGGGAAAGAAATCACAAAAGTTCTTATGAAAGCTTCTCCTTTCTTTACCATCTCGCAACAAAACTCCCAAATAAACTTGAACTTAAAACTCACTTCCCTTTCCCATCTTTTATCCCCCCATCTAAACACAGCATTATAAGCAGAGCTTGATTGCTTGAACCACCACCAACAAATTTACAGGGGTAACATCGTTTTTCTAATTTGTAAAGACAATGTCAATAGGAGAAGCATATTTACAAGAAAGCCAGATAAATGAGATAAAGATCGGAACCATCTGATCTAAACAGGGATGGATCATATTTGCTTCTCCTTCGGAGAATCGATGAAAGCAGCAGCCTTGCAGATTGGGCATGCATTCTTTATCAGCAACCAGTTCTTGATGCAGCTGGCATGGAAATCATGTCGGCAGCTTAACCTTCCGAGCTCATCTTGGTCGTCATAATTTTCCTATCAAATTAGAGAACACAACAATATAAGAGCATTAGCTATTAAGAGATTGCATAAATATTCTGGAGTTAATTGTGGATAAAACCCCTCAGTATCCATTTTACCTTCAGTCACAGAGAGAGAGAGAGAGAGAGAGAGATTTCTGAGAAATAGAGGAAAATATTTTTCTGAGAAATAGAATCTCTGAGGGTAAAAGATTCCGATAGTAAGTTCAAAACATCATGTTGCAGGGGGGCCTATCCGGCATTAACCCAACATACTACATAGAAACTAACTCAGACTTACCAGACAAATAGCACACTTTTCTTCCTCATCATCATCTTTCATTTGATCAGATGAACAATGTATCATTTCTTGCAGGCACCCGGAGATGGTCTCTTTGGACAGACCAGTGCTCACATTTCCTATCCTCTCTTCTAAAGCAAGTAGTTCCTACAATGACAATGATGATAAATATCCGAGACTCATGAAAGACTTTTACGGGGTGTTTGTTTCATTTTTTTTTTTTTTGGATATGGTGTGGATTTCAAGTTTTGGGATGTAAAAAGAGGTTTTTTGGGCTTTTAGAATTCCATAAAACTTGTTTGTTTCAAAATAAGTTTTAGGATATTAAATCCCCAAATAATAAAAAAGTAATATATTTAGGGGATGTTTGTTTCATTTTAGTTTTTTGGGATATGGTGTGGATTTCAAGTTTTGGGATGTAAAAAGAGGTTTTTGGGGGTTTTAGAATTCCATAAAACTTGTTTGTTTCAAAATAAGTTTTAGGATATTAAATCCCCAAATAATAAAAAAAGTAATATATTTAAGGATTTGTAAAATCCTCTTTTTCATGTGGGATGTGGGGTGGATTTCAAAAGCTTCATACAAATTATGGATTTCAAATTCTAAAAAGTTTGAAACAAACAAAAATATTACAAATTATAGTATTCCAAATCCCAAAATATTGTTGAAGCAAACAAAGTTTTAGGAATCCCAACCCATAACAAATTACTTATGGATTTCAAATCCCATAGTGAAATCCATATCCTAAAATTATAGGATTTGAAACAAACACCCCCTTAAGGATTTGTAAAATCCTCTTTTTCATGTAGTATGTGGGGTGGATTTCAAAAGCTTTATACAAATTATGGATTTCAAATTCCAAAAAGTTTGAAACAAACAAAAATATTACAAATTATAGTATTCCAAATCCCAAAATATTGTTAAAACAAACAAAGTTTTAGGAATCTCAACCCATAACAAATTACCTATGGATTTCAAATCCCATGGTGAAATCCATATCCTAAAATTATAGGATTTGAAACAAACACCCCCTTAAGTAATATCAGTATAATAATTACTGAAAGAGAACTAGTTGTCACCTCATAGCTCATGTTGTCTATGTCTAGCCTCATATCCCTATGCTGATCAAACCAATTCCTTGAGTCATAGAAGGCTGATCGGTCCATCACTACTGCACCCTGTTTTTTTTTTTTGTTGTTGATGTTTGGGGGGTGGGGGGGGGGGGGT